TCGAACGTCAAAATAGACGAGATCAAATGCCTCAAAAGCCAGACATATTCCCATTACAAACTGTGGAAGCTGTCAATAATTTTGAGAATATTAATAACATCTTGTACGATCAAGTTGTAAGTAATTTATAATTTAAGATTAAAAATATAAATATTTATGTTATTATTATTTGTGATGGTGGTAATAAATCAATACCTAAAATGTTACCAATTTGATAATGACAAATGTATCTTATACCTTGTGTATTTCTATTTAAAACAATTACATGATGGATTTATGTATAATAGAAAGGAAATTTGCATTTATACCATTCATAAACTAAAAGTATAAATATATATAATATTTATTTTATATTAAATTATTAGTTATATTTCATTCTTCCTTGTCTCGATTGGAAGCCACACAGACCAAATAACAGTTGTGCCCGGTTATATTTCAAAATGCTAAGACTTTTATCTAGAGTCAAAATAGAAAAGCTCATGGAATAAGCAATCTAATATGAATACACCGCGATCTCTTTAAAGTAAATTTGATGTTTACATTGTTTTTTCATCAATCTCATAACATGTACTTTAAATGAAAATAAGGCTAGTAAAATAAAAAATACTTTTGTGACGTATATGAAAATATTTGTTGCTATTCTTATCTCTTCACGATAAAGTAGATATCTGCAATTACTTGATTGGAAAGATGGTTACATCTAAAGTTCGATGTAAATACCTGCGCAGGAATGAAACGCAAGTTGCATGCGCGTTTAATATCTTCTAATGGTAAAATATCTTCTGCTGTTAATGCTTAATTTCCATATCGTAAAACAAAATTTCTAAAATTTATGTATAGTAGATGTTCTTTGACAAACTTTTCAACATCCGTTATTTCCGTATATTCATTAATGTAGTAAGATAAAATATTTTCACTTTCACATGGTTTGCTTTTCGAATTTTCAATCTAAGTTCAAAGTGTTGGTGACTCAAGATAAAAAGTAGAATACTCCTACTCACTTATGCTTGCATTTATTCTAGGTGGATTATTTCCAGTTTTTAGGTGGTACAAATCTAATGGAAGCAGTAAATTTTTGCATAAAAAGATCTATAGCCGATAATGCATTAAAATATTATTCTGTTTGGGGAGAACAGAATAACCAAGTTTTTTATGAAAAAAAATATGTAAAGCCATATATGGTAAATTATTAAAAAACTCATTTTTTCTCGTTCTCTTATATCATATCGTATCATACGATTCGTGAAATTATACAGTTAAAAATCCTACAGTTTAATAATTATCTTTTCTAGATGGTGTACATATTAACAGCAGTTTTGACCGTCCCACGGAACAACAGTTCCTCCATGCCATTGCCGAAGCAATACGCTATGCAAAACAGAGAATACGCAATAATATAAATTATCCACGACAAAATGCGCACGGAGGTCGACGTATTCGTCAAAGGCAAAACGCCAGAAATATTTTCGAAGATGAAAACTTGGATAATGAAGACAACATTGATGATCATCTTGATGATCATCCTGATGATCAATGAATGAACATTGAATTTGTTTAATATCAATACTTTTATAATATCTTATCAATATTATGTGCTGTCTGGGATTCTCTCTCTCTCTCTCTCTC